TCATGATTAGTGTGGTTATGAAGAGGTTGTCCAGAGAAGTTGTGGATGCCCCATGTCTGCGTGTTCAAAGTCAGAAGGAGCTTTGAGCAACCTCACATAGTGAAAGGTGCTCCTGCCCATGGCAGAGTCTTTGGACTACATGACCTTTAAAGGTCCCTTCCAACCCAAACCATTCTATGATTCTATGATAAACTGTAAACATTTTAGATTTTGTGATTTACTTCCATGCTGTAGAATAGAAAATTTAAAAAAACTGATAATATTTTCCCTTCCCTATTAATGTTCTTTAAAAGATTATAATGTGCTTGTTTTGATGGTGATTAGGATATAAACCAGTCACAAACAAGCAAAATCCCATAATGAACCTGCACTCTGGATCCTCCTTAGTTATACATATGCTCGTCTCTAGAAATACTAACTTTTCCATAAAGATGGACACACACACACACATACACACAGCATTTATTAAGGTCAAACAGCAAAGTGGTTTTATGCCTGGGAAGAAAACTTTCAAATACAAAGCCTATAAATAGGTTATATGTTGCCTTTCTGACTCAGCAAATAGCTTGAAGAAGTGCTCTCAGGAGACATTAATTTGCAGTGTCCCCCCCTTTATTTCACTGAGACTTTAGTTCTGCAGTCTAAATTTAATACTTCATTGTCATTATGGGAATTGCCACCATGAGGGAAGCAAAGGCACTTTCTGCATTTTTCTGTAAGCATCAGGAAATAAATCTGTATGGAAAGGAAACATCTCTTCATGTGCAGAAGGAAACACGAGGTTACTTGACATGAAAAGTATCAGGAACTAGTGCAATGCCCAGAACACAAACCACGAAGAGGCCTGGATAGAGTTGAATATGACAAAATAGAAAGCTGCATCGGATATATCCTGCAGTAGCTGACATGCACACTGCTGTCCCAGGATCTGGGACACTGTGCTTGCAGCAGCCAGCGAGGAGATGGCTCAGGAGCATCTCAACATGGATGAATCTCAAATAAAACTTTTCCACCCCTTACTGACACACTTGTTTCTGGTTCCTGAGTAGTTTAATTCCAAGGCCCTTTTGTATTAATAGTAAATCTGAAAGTGCCAAATGAAGCATGTGGCTCCGTGGCCCACAGCCAGAGTCCACTCCAGCAAAGGGAGAGCAGATGCAACCCCTAATTCCGGAGGCACTTGAGTGTGAGAAATGTTTTGTTGTTCTTCCAGCCATTGCTGTAGGTAGGACAACCTCTCCGACTAATAAACAGCCAGAAAACACTGAGCTTTAGGGCTGTTCCAACATTATCCTATAAACACCTATATTTCATGCAAATATCCACAGACCCTTTTACTCCCAAGGCAATCACTTTTGGGAAAGTCTCTCTTTTTTTTTGGACCTGTTTGAACTGTGTTTAACAACATAGAGCTCTAAGTCTTCCTCAGATGCATTGGGCTTTGAGAGGACTCAGCTAGAAGGGACTGATGGAGTCCATGCACTGGCGTTTCTCCTACAGGAGAACAAACCAGTGGGGAAAAATACAGAGAGAGGAGGAAAAAAAGAGGCAAGCTATTATTGAAATATAAGGCAGTAAATTTTAAAAAGAAACAATACACCCTCATGAGCCACAAAGCTACTGCACATTTGAACAACATGGATTCCTTCATAAATAATTGGTTGTGTAGTAGCCTTGCTGAAGATGGGACTTCTCCTGTTGTTTTTTCCCCCTCTGCACACCACAAACATGGCACAGCAGAAGTATTTTCAAGAACAAACATGCACAGAAGTACTTATGCTTTGTGTTGCTATATCCAACCCCCATAAATTTATGCTCATGTAATTACTGTTCTGTTTGTCTACTGATAGGGAGTTAAAAATACCACCCCACCCCCCCAATTAGAATTGGTTTCTATTTTTTGTTAAATCCCTGCAGTTGATATTGAGGAAAATGTTGTGCTGAGCCACATGAGATCTCTCTTGCCTGCACTAGTCAAGACAGAAGACTACAACAACACAAAAAAAAATCTCACCAAAAGCAAGACAAATTTGACTGTGTTATGAAGCCATCAATCCTGTATTCTCTTTCCTTTCTTCATCTGATGCTTGGTATTTCTACAGTGGGAATAGATTTGCACCAGGACCTGTTTCTATCTGAACTTGTGTTCAGGAAAAATGTAAAATTTTTCTGCAATATCCAAATTCTTAATTTGTTTTCCAAGGTGTCCCTCACTTACAAGGAATTACTTATCATTGATGTAGCACTTATTTTGTTAGTAGAAATATGGACATCATCCCATGAATAATCTTGTGAGTCATGTGAAATTAATCCAGTACCAAATAAACAACAACAGTGAATTCTCAGCTTATATTCAGGTTGTAAAATCTTTGTCACACGAGTCATCTCTTTATTACATACAAATACCATATTTGCCATTAGGGCCTCTGAGACTCTATTTTTAAAAGCTTTGTGGAAGGAACTGTCTGGAAACATAAGGTCAACTTCTCCCCAAGCAAAACTAAATGAGACTGAGTATCCCAGTGCCTGTTTGAGATGGGAAAGTCAGGACATGCACACAGTTTCCCCTTCACTTCTGATAGGCTTCTTTGAGCAAATAACATAGCACAAAAACCAATGACATGGAGAAACAGCTCACATGTGAGACCAGGCGAAGCTTCAGCTGGCAGCCAGTGAAGAAAAAGAACAGATGTAACCATCCTAATATCATCTCCCACATTTTGAGCAGCAGAGAAAATACCGAATGCAAACATGACACTATCCACACAATGATGAACTTGGCTCATCACTTACAGGCCAGGATAAGCAGATGAAGAGTTTGGCTAAGGACTAAGAAGTAGATTTATTTTTTTTTAGATATTGAAAAGCCAAGACATAATCAAGGTCCCAGAAGGATTTTCAAAAGCAATTAGGAGCCCAAGTTCTGTTAGTCCATTGCTCCTTCTGAAAATCCTATATAGTGGCAAATTAACTGCATCATTGGACATCAAAATACCTCTGTGTTCTTGTGCTGCTTCTGCTAGGGATGGTCATCCTTGATTTCAACAGGGAAAAGTCTTTTTTATGAAAAGGTGAGCAAATTCTTTCCATTCTTTAGTTCGCCTAGCTCCCCCCCAAAAGGGAAATTTTATCCTTCTCTTGTTTAATGAACATGTTACTGCCCCATAAACTATTTTAACTGAAATTGTAAGATCAGCACTCAATCCCCAGTCCATGGTTGCGCAGGTCTTTGCTGTACAGAGAACAGTTTGCTTTCATCTGATTGAGGTTTACTTGCCAAAGATTTCAATGCCTCTCTGGTCTGATAGTGCAGATTTGCAGTGTCTTTCTCTGGGTAGAAATCCCTCTTGGATTGGTAAATGACTCAAAGGTTGCAGCATCCATCCCAGTCCCATCGGGTGGTGGTGGGCCAAATGCTGCCTTCTCTATTTACACATCTCTACTGATAGAAATCATGCTGCTTGTGTGGGATTTTGGGACTGATGTTTGTATACATTTCATCCTCAGAAACATGATACCAATCTATTGCACACAGACTGCAGAAGAACTGTACAGTTTTTTTGTTTGTTTGTTTTATAGAAGAAAATGTTCCCTTAATGTGATAAATACTGAACACGACTTTTGCTCAGGCTGCAAATAGCAAACTACTTATTCATCTACTGTTTAAGTACCTTTTGGTTTTGTCATGAAGTGAAACTTTTGAGCAAGATCGTATTGCACGTGAAGTGGCTTCCTGAATCCTTAAATATTAATCCTCAAGTAAAACCAGACTGAAGGTAGTCCCAGGGTCACTTTAATTAAAGTCTGAGCTGCTGCGTCCCACTATCTTGTATCCCACGTTAAATGTTCCTTGCCTTGTCTTTGTGCCAACACCAACATTTTCAGAGTCTCTGGGTGACTTTGGCAGGAGGATGGGGATGTGAACTGGGAGGGACCCATTCCTGGGGGAACACAGGGTCCATTACCAGTCAATGGGAGCAGGGACAAGGCTGAAAAACATGGCCAGCTCCGCAAGGAGTGAGTTTGTCAAGGACCTGTGGGTCTCGAGATGGTCAGATGATGGAAAGTGTTAAGGGGGCAATTGTGAACCGAAAGAAGCCCCTGGAAAGGAAAAAAATGGGGCAACGGGGGGTGGTAAAGAGTCAAGGTGGAGCAGAAAGGGTGGAAGGCCACAGGGGTCCATGTAAGAAACAGGGATGTGAAAGGAAGGGCAGGAGCAGGAGCGGCAGGCGGGAAGCCGCAGGAAAGGAAGAAGTGAGGAGAGAGATCGGGGCTCGGGTGTGCGGCACAGGGGGGCAAGAGACCAGGTGTGCGGAGCGGAGAGGTGAGACGAGAGGCACTTGGGAGAGATCGAGTGATGTGAGGTGCGCTGCCTCTGGTCCAGCGCCTGGTACTGCCGGCACCGGCATTGGCACCGGCGGCGCTCGGCGAAGGAGCAAAGAACACGGAGCAAAGGACACGGTCCCGCCCCGTGTGCCCGGCGGGGCGGTCCCGGGGGGCGGGCGCTGGCCCGACCCTGGCGCTCCTCGGCCGCCGGGGAACCCGCGCTGGAGAAGGGGCCTCCGCTGCCCTGGGGCATCGCGCCCTGCCCCGCAGGGGTTGCGGGGACGGCCGCTCTCGGGAGGGACCCCCCGTACCGCTCCCGGGGACCGCAACGCGCCGCCACCGGGGCTCCCGAGGCTCGGCTCTACCGCGGGGAGGGGACACAGCGCACGGCCCGAGCGCTGCCGCCTGCCTGGCGGGCACATCGCCAGGAGGCGGAGGCGACACTGGCGCCGCCGCTGCCGGAGCCGAGCGAGGCCGAGCGCTCCCGCCCGTCCCCGTCCCCGTCCCCGGTCCCCGCTGCTCTCCCGCCCGTCCCTCTCCGCCCGCCCGGGGCGGGCCCGGGGCCGCCTCCTCCCGCTCCCCGCAGCGCATTCGCCGCGGGGGCCCCGCTCCAGTGACGTCAGCGCTGCCTAAAAAAGCGCCCCGGCAGGCAGGCAGGGCAGCCGGCAGGGCGGGCAGCGGCCACGGCAGCGGCCACAGCGACAGCAGCAGCAGCAGCAGCAGCAGCAGCAGCGACAATAGCGACAGTAGCGACAATAGTGACAACAGTGACAATAGCGACAATAGCAGCAGCCGCTTGCGCCCCACCGCCGACATGGTGTCCCCCGTCACCGTGGTGAGTGCGGGCCGCGCGGCGGGCGGGAGGAGCGGGACCCGCGCCTCTTCCCACGGGCACCCTCCCGAGAATGGGTGCCCTCCCTCCTCGCCGGTGCTGCCCTCCCACCTGCTCCCCGAGGCGCTGCCCCCGAGGGCGGCGGGTGCTCAGATCCGCTCCGCTCCGCTCCCGCCGCCGGGTGTGCGACCATCGCCCGCGACCCCCCCGTCTCCCCTTGCCCGGTGCTCACCCCGGCCCCCCCCGGCAGCTGTTGCTCCAGCGGTGCGCCTGCACGGGCGGCTCTCCCTCGCTTCCTCCTCTTGTCACTTACGTTTTTATAAACATCTCTGATGTATCTGCTCTATGTGGACTGCATCTGTTCAGAGCGGAGCTGCCCCAGCTGCCCTGGGCTTGCGCCGCGGCAGCGCCCGGGAGCATCCTCCTGCTCCCGCGGCCTCCCTTGCTCTAGCAGGCATCTCCGCCTCACCATCCGGAGGTGGCTTTGCTGTCCCGGTGATGGCTTGGGATGAGGCTCCTGTTGACCACCGTGTCGGGCAGACCTTACCACAGGCTGGATGACTTCCCGCTGAGACCTCTGGCTTTGCAAGCCAGTCTGGCACTTCCACCACCTAACGACATGAGACAGGGATGGTGTCACCTGCCTGTTTCATAGGGGAGTCACAATGCTTAATTAACGTAACCAGCAATAAGGTAGCACCTCACTGCTGTCCTGTCAGTTGGTGATGTGTGCAGCAGCACAGCTGGATTGATGGAGCAAAGCCGGTAACTGAAGTAGCCGTGGCTTGTGCCAGCAATCCCAGGTCCTGGCCCTGCAGGGGAACACGGGCTGTTTCAATGCTAAAAGAACAGCCAGAACAGCAGAGAAGCTGCACTGTTAGACATGCTGCTTTGCATGTTCCTCTTTCTAGAAAGCAAGGCATTTGTTGGAATAGCCCAGCAGACTAACACATGCTGTAAGAATAGCTAATTGTTGGTGGGAAAGTTGCCTAGTGCTTCGCTGCAGCACTGAACACCTACTGCTGGTATCCTGGTTCCCCGTCTATCCATTATTATCCTGTTTCGAAATATTTTGGTTAATGGCCAGGCCATTGCATGCTCTCTTGCAGGTAGAAATTTTGTCCTTTCCCTGTTCTTAACTCACAGAGCCGGGGTTCAAAACTTTTAAATTGCTTTGCCAGTTCTGCAGAGCAGCCTGTATTGTCTGATACTTCAGATGAATGTTTCCCCAGTTATTAACATGTACCTGGTAAGTTCATCAGCAGCCTGGGGATGAGTTTTATCTCTAGCGACAGAGGGAAGTAGCTTGGAAATTATACCATTGTAGTGCCAATTTTTTTTTTGTGATTTTTGAAAACAGCTACAGAGATTTGGTATCTGTGCTTCTGTGCCACAAGCTAAATTTGTACTTCAGTAATGCTTTTGGTTACAATGAATTGTGTATGTGTACCTTGGAAGTAAAATCTTATGCTGGTATAAGTAAAATCTTATGCTGGCTCAAAAACTGGCAGAATTTGTTTCACTGTTTACAGGAGGCAGTACTTGGCTGTTAAGCTGGTGCGTCAGGGTGGTCTTGCAGAGTGTATTCCGACAGAGCTTTGACAGGAGGCAAATGACTAAGGCATGAGTATGTGTTGGGAAGTGTGTACGTAGTTCAGACCCGAAGGCTTTTCCTGCAGTTTAGGAAGGTAACTTGGGAAGGAAAATTTAAAAAAGCCCCGCTATCTTCACTTGCCCTTTCGATGTGTAACTAAGCACATTTTTGCTCTGGCTTCATCCCTGACATATGAACAATTTGCTTCACCAAAGGCAACTAACACAGGTGTGAAGCTGTGGGGAGCTGGAGGGATGGTGAGACCGGGAGCTGTGACCAGAGCCGCAGCTGTTTACCATGGCTGTAGAGGTGAGAGAGAAGGATGTCTGGTCCTCCACAGAGCTCACAAAACAAGAGATCTGCAAGCCTTCAGTCTGCTGAGGAACAGTTCTTTGCACATCCCCTTCAGTGGGCTGCCACATCGCTCTTCCTGCGAAGGAGTGCACTGTGCTCTCCGTGTTGGCTGTCCCACGGAGGGCAGGGGCTGAATTGGCATCAAGCAGCAGCCTGTGCTGCCCTGGAGTGTGGTGCAGCCCTTGCACAGCTGCCAGCTGAGGGGGTGAGAAGCAGGGTGGCTTTACAGCAAGTGGGCTCCGTGTGACAAGTCGCTTGCTGGAGGGAAGAGCAGTGGCAATTGGTCTGGCCATGGCTAGGGGCTAGCCTTGGGCCCAGGCCTTCTCTCTGTACTGCACTGCCTTTGCTGCATAGCTGGACCAGGTGTTTGGAGCCAGCATGGCTATCGCTGCCATGACACATGATGGGGAGACTCTGGGCAGCACTTGAGGCATAATCAAATTAGCCATAGGAATTGATTTGTCTACAGCGTATGTCCTCTCCCAGCACACTGCAGCATCAGCCTCTATGAGAAGGACACTAGAAGACCACATCTGTGAGTGACTGGATTTTTATTCCCATTCTCAAAGCGATGGCCTTAGTACAGTTCTGCAGCAGATGGCCCCGACTGCTTACACCCAACCTGCTCTCCTGCATCTCCTCCTCTTTCCTTCTTTAGGACACTCTTGTAAAAAGAGGCAAAACCCCTGAGCTTCAAATCTGCTGTACAACTGATAGCTGGAAGAAACCTGCAAGGAGGCACAGTCCATGGAGAGGCACCTAGGAAGAGATCACAGCTAGGACTGCTTGTTTGTGCCGGCTGCCAGGTGTTCATCATTGCCTGGAGGGTTTGGCATGTCTGCCCCATGCACAGGGGGAGACCATGGCATCATGCAGAGCTAGCCAAGCTGTCGTCTCTGATGCTGTACAATTCAGATGTGCTGAGAGTGGAGCGTGCACACAAATACACAAGTCTGGTGCCAAAATATCTTTTAACATATTGTGCCAGGTCCTCAGTTAGAATAAAGCTCTGGAGTCTTGCTGAGGCCAGAGTCTAGACTTGCATGGTGCTGGGCTGTGGCAGGGAAGATGCATTTGTCTGCCAGTCCTGTTCCAGCTGGTAGGCGATGCTCACTCTGCTTGGAAGTCACCTTGGAGGGAAGCTTTCACTGCTTACTCTGCTAGGCAAGCAGGAGCATCCTGCTTAAAAATTATTGTTCTTGATACTGCTCTGATTAAGAGCTGTTTTTTCTGCATAAAGCCATGTGGGCTGAGAGCCTGCAGTTGGAGCTCAGTATTGATAAATGGCACATTTGCTTCATGGATATGCGTGGTTTAATTCCATTCTTGTTCAGTCAACAGTGGTCCCATCTTAATAAAAGAGCACTAGTTAGTGATTTTTGTCCAGTTCCCCCCTCCACTGTTGGCTAAGCAGTTTTTAGCACGAACTTGTAGAAGATAGCGCTTGCCTTAAGGACCTTTCTGCCCCGCAGGCATCATGATTGCAGGAGCTGCAAGTGTGCAGGAGATGACCCTGGAGACATGCAGTCATTCTGACATTTACATAATGTTTCTTGCTCAAAGGGACCCTATTCTCTCCCTAAAGTTAAGGCTAAACTTAGTATTGGGCTTCACATCACCTTGAGGAAAACAGGGCATGGCAAATTTACATATTAATTGGCTGAGGGTAAGTCTCTTTGGGGGGCAATTATACATGATATTGGTGTGTCTTTTAGAGCAAGATGAACTGTGGGCACTCATCCTGCAACATCCCCTCTGCATCTGACTTTTACTGGACCTAGCACAGTCCTGTGCGTGGGAGGGAGGTGAATTGCTGTTTGGGACAGATTTTTGCTCAGAACCTGTATCTTAACAATCCCCATCCCTTCCTTTTGTCCTTTGATGTATTTGCATTTTTAAACAGAGATAGCTGGGTTGGGGAAAAATATGTTGTTTTGGCTGCACAAAGGAAGATGGGCCCTCGGCCCTGTCCCCCTTAGATGGGAAGCAGCAGCACCATCCTGAGAACAGCCCTTGTCAGCCCTCTGAGTAGACACAGGATGTCTTTGTGATGAAGGTCAGTTGCAAAAACTGGGCAAAAAACCTGAAAGGTACGGTCTGGAAAGATACTCACCGGTAAGAAATATGGAATAGGGCTGGAGATCTGGGTAGGTATGATTTCAGTTTCTGAACAGGGACCAAACCACACTGATCCAGATGAGTGTGGAAACCTGATGTAAATCGCATTGCTTAGAGACTTTGCACTATGGGCAATTGTAGCAGTAGTAGGCAAGCATAGTTTTAAAGGTTTATTATTAGAAAGTGTGCTCAATAATTCTCAAACTGCTGCTGAAAACAAGAAAGCCAGTTCACACCTGGAGCTATTTCAGCCTTTGTTCTTAAGGAGAGAATGTATTATTTCTGCATTAATGAATGAAGTGTTAGCAACCATCTAAGTTAGAAGTAATTCTTATAGTAGAGAGTTAATTTTACTTGTTCTCTTTGTTTATATACAACATTGTTTTCATTGTAATTTCCCCCATTACTTAAATACATCATACATTGAGATTTTATTATGCAGGAGGCTTGTAAACATGCACATTTATATATTGCATAGACAAGTATGGAAATATGGCACTTGCATAAAATCCAAGTGAATGTAAATGAATTATAGAAAAGATTTCTAAACACCTGAGCTCACTGAAAAAAGGGAGGGAATCATCACCTTAGGAAAGCTTAGCGGGGTCTTAGTAACATTTATGTCAGTCCCACCTTTTGGGAGAAGCCTAAAGCTTTGGGCCTACTGGGCAAAAAGCTGTGCTGATTTATGCCAGCTAGAGCCCAGTGTTACATGCCACGATTTATTTTTTCAGACTGAACTTGCGCATTCTTGCTGTGACATTGACATTCTTTGCTGTAGCTGTTGCTGTGAGAGGGTGGGCTATCGAGGCTGGAAAGTGCGGCTTCTCTCACGCTCTTCCCAGTCCCAGGGAGGTCACACCAAGCAGTTAGTGCCGATCACTGCTGCAGGCAGTGCTGTAGATTAAAGGCTTCATTAACTCCAGTGTATCACTCG